GATGATGAAATTCGTTGCCAACGCTTTTAAAAGTCGATTTTTATCGATTCGTTGTTGCAGCCCTAATGCTTATATATTTATTGAGCATTTATTTCTGTATTTATTTTTAAATATGGCAGAGTTAGTCCTCCATAATCTGGACTGTAAAAAAAATGACCTAAAAATATATAACATTTTCTAAAAAATAACTGATTCTCCATGATCCGAACAGGAAAAAAAGATAATCTGTAAGAAGAATGAGAGTTTTTTAATCTTAAAATAAGATTATTACTTATTATGCACTGGAAATAAGATAACAGTTTTTTTTTTTTTCATATTTTAAATGTAAACCTTAGTTCAACTGCAAAATGTCATACATACCCCAAAATAAACTTAAACATGTTTTGGCATCCTAGGCTTTGCATTAAACTTCTATTTCTATATTCCTTGGAAAACTGCCATGCCTTACGGTTAGGATCAGGATAATAACAGTTTCTCACATATATTTAATCCATATGTTACAACAATTGAAAGATGCTTCACTGTCACTTTAAATAAAAACAGATTTTAAGACAGGATTTTTTGTTTTGTTTTTTAAACATAACTTTTCTAAATTTTGAGATAATATCATCTGATAAAAAGTACATTTACATCATTTTTTAAAGCAATTTTATTTGACATTTAAATATGAGTCCCCTATGACTTTAAAGGAATAAACTTTTCCAATGATTCTTCCTCCAATTTAGTTGTTACTTACGGTTCTGCGAGCATCATAGGCAAAGCATTTTCCTGGATCCTGGATGGTCTGTTGAATCCCATCGTGAAGACACCTTTCAACAGTTCAGGTTTCCTAACATAAAAACCAGTCAGGATGAGTTTGCACATTCAACAGCTGGAAAAAAATAAAAATGGCTACCATCCAGAACATACAGTCTGAGTTCCTCAAAGGTTTTGGCAGAGAACAGAGGGGACTTGGGGTCTGCCTGCTGGACCTCAACCTGGTTCCCGTTCTTCACCAGAGAGCAGCGGATCAGTTTATTAAGCAGAGACTGCTCCGCTTTGTTAACACGATCACCCGCCGCCTCATTTTCTTCATCCTGGCTCCAATTTGGCTCTAGGTTAGCTGCAGGGTCAAACACCACAGACACAATTAAAGCGGTTCAAATTCAAAATAAGAACAAAAAGGATTGAAAGAAATACCATTAACGTCCTCCTTCAATTGATGAAGTGTTGATGTGATATGTTTGGGAAACTGAAACAGTCAAAAAACAACAAAAGGAAATCAGTTCCAACACGCATGGTTAGCTTCAGCTAACAGCATATGCTAATGAGCTAACGAGCAATCAACAGGTGTTTCTGACCGACAGATATTAAAAAAACCAACCAAACGGGACGGAGTTGTGGTCTCCTGAACATCGACTGCTAACGCCCAAGAATCTTCTGCCATTCTCTTGAAATATATTTATAATCCAGTAAAAAACGAACTGATTTTTGCCGCCAGCGTCCTTTAGACCGGAGCGGACCGTTACTGCTTAAATTCTGTTGTTGCCTTTACAAGTGCAGCCTATGTAGTAATTTCAAGTTTCTATCAAAATCCGCATTTAATTACTCAAATATTGATTTTAAATTCAGTTTCACTTATGCAATCATAAGGTGTTTTTGTGAGTTAAAAGAGATTTTTAAAGAACTATATATATAAACCCTTTTTGTGCAACATTTATTTTCATTCTTTGATTTTTTTTTCTAAATAATTCTCTAATATTTTACTGGGTGACTTAAATCACATAAGATTTGAAAATGAGTTTTAGTTATTTACCACATATACCGAAATCATTATCTTTTTTAAGATTATATTTTAAAGGCCCGACACTTTTGTCCAGACTGATATTTTCTTACTTTATTGGGATACATGAAGGCATCACAAAGTTTCGCTCAGTGCATTATTTGGGCGGGAAGTTGCACGCCGCCACAGTCTCCCCCTTGTGGTGGCGGGAGCACATAAATGGAATGAACAGGGGGGCAAACAGAAAAAGAAATGATTATAAATGACTATAGATTAGAAATGATTATATATTTTTAAAATATAAAAAGAAATTCCAGCACTGTTAGCCTATACATTGTTTTGTGTTCTCCCTCCTTTATATATATATATAAAACTGTAACTGGAGCGTGTAACAAAAGCAATTTCCCTCTGGAATTATTAAAGTATTTCTGATTCTGATTCTCATTTTTAAGCAGTAAACAGTGAAACAAAGCAGGAATATATTCACCAAAAGCCCCATCCTGCATCACATCATGTCTCCCTGTCTGTCACCGGCAGTTTGCTAAATAAGAACCATGTGCGCGTAATTTTACTTAAAGATAATGAATGAAAGAAATCAATGCATCTTTATAGCAGTTTAAAAGCTTACATACATTTTATTTGTGTGTGGTGCAATATCACTGTCTTTCATGGGGCCCCATCCCTGTGTTTATAGATAGTGGAGACCTGCCTGTTTTTCAGTGTAGTCCTGTTTCTCTGATTGTGACTGGCTGGATGTGCTCTCTTCATCCCCTGACATGGGAGTTGGCTCAGAGCTCGTCTGCCTGGCTGTGTGTTTCCTGGACCGGCTGCCTTTTTCAGTTGATTTTGGGGACCCTGCTACTGTCTCCTTGAACCCCCTAAAATAAGATAATTAGATAATATGCACGTGAAATAAGACAATGCAATTGTGTTTTCTTATTTTAAGTCTAAATTGTCTTGTTCCATTGGCAAAATGTCTCTTTTATCTCCTCAATCCAAGAACAAATACACTTATTTTAAGAAAAAATGACTCATCTAGATTTTGATTTTTTCCAGTGCTCTGCTTCTGTCTCCTTGAACCCCAGTCGGCCTCAGCAGATGGCCGCTCACACTGAGCCTGGTTCTGCTGGAGGTTTCT